GAAAGAGAATCAGATTGTTTTGGGATAGAAAAATCAAGGAACATAATTAGGGATGGATTAACCCTATTTTCTCTCTTCATTTCCGGTTTGTGGCGTCTCTTTTATCTGATTATCTGGCTTAATTTTTTTTGGTTTCAATGGCCACATGCATGTCCTTCTTATTCTAGGGCATAAATTCAATATTAAAAGGAAGAAACTAATTGTTTGTAGTATTCGTGGACTCCACTAAACACGAAATGCAAGGAAGAAGCTCTAGAGAATCATTCTCCTTTCAAGATCGAAGGAAGTGGCAACAATCCTTGAAGATTCTATCTTTATATCTCTTAGGTTTTTTTTTTGTTTTTTTTTTCTTTTTCTATGAGCTTTTAGTTTTCTTTGGGTTAGATTAGGATCAACACCATGACTCAATCCTATTGTAATATAATTTATCTTTTGTATCCTTTTCTAGTTTTGTGGGTTTATAATTAGTTATTTAATTAACTAATGATTTTTTATATGATTGAGACTCATTAAGAAATTGATTTATAATATAAATTTATGCAATTGAAGAATTTAGATTGTTCCACACTATAACAAAATAGACTTTTAGTAGTATTTAATATAATTTTTAGTGGTAATAAAAATTGTTGCAAAATATTTTATTAGCATTTTTATATTATTTATTATGTGGAGTACTGCTAAAAAATTTAGTGACAATTATTCTGCATATTAGTAAAGACCCTTATAATAGTTGAGAAAAATGTACAAGTTTTTGTGGCATTTTTAATTCGCATTTAATATTTTTTGTTATTACCACTAAAAGTTTAAGAAATGATTCATAATACTTTTTAATTACCTTATCTTTAATCGATGTGAGACTTGTAAGATGATGGTTGTCTCTACTTATATATTCTTTAATTTCCTTATTTTTTTTAATTATCTTATTTTCTAATTAATTATTTTATTTATAGTTTGTAACGACCCACCCTAGGCCGTCACATCCAGAACCAACCAAAGATAAATAATATATATTAAAGAAAATAGAACAAGGGCCAGTTACGCTAGAGTGTAAATATACAATAACATATAAAATTATTTCCAAAATATATAACATTTTTATAACAAAGTCATTATCCTCAGTAAGATTATACAGTAATCCAGAAAGGTAATATAATTACAACGTCATGAAGACATCAAAATAAGACAACCTAGGTGCTGGTCAAGCTCTAAACCTAGCCACTTCTCAAAGCAGCTATCCAAAAGACTCCTTGCTATCCCAAGGCCTCACACCTGATCTGCTCCCCCACACAGTGAGATCATCACAGTCTATTATGGAAATATAAGGGTTAGCACATATAAAACCAATCATAGTACATCATAATAAAATATCATTAAACAAATATTTATCCACAGTATTTATCCAGACCAACAAGTCATTTCCAAGCTAAATATAGACCAATCCAAAATATAATGTATACACATCCATGCCAATGCATACATATTTTATGATAATACAGAATCCATAACCAATGTATACAATCCATACCATATGTATACATATTCCACATCCAAAACAAAGTCACACCACTGTATAATCCATGATGTAACCAACACATCCAAACCAAATGTTGGCCTCAACACCATCCAAACCAAGTGTTGATACGGTGAAACATGTCATCAACCCATGTCTCACGCCTAACCTCTCATGGAAAATATACAGTTGGATTACGTCGTCACGTAACCCTGGTGATCGTGGCCACCTCATCCATCGGTATGACTCGGCCTGGACCCATACCGGTAGCAAATAGAATACTTAGAGGAGTACTTCAGAATCCACCTAACATCTGAAGTGGTTTATTATATAACCTTTGGAAAAGTTCCATATTGGAATCCTCACCATGGGATTCCCAAATTCCATATTTTTCCAAAGATTATATCCTGATCTCACCAAGAGATCTAATTCATACCATAACCTTACTCCTCTAAGTTCTATTAGCTTTGCAAACCACACACATATAGCATATTCCATAATTACATACAAACTTTTCCATAACCATGTCAAATCATTCAATATAATAACAAATAATTAAACACCTAAAACAACCATCAATTTAAACAAATGACAATCTTCATATAAACAAAATAGCATATTAAAAGTTATACTACCCCTATCATGCTCATACATACTAGATTAAGTCTTATAAGTACTACCCTTACTTGGATAAACAGGAATCGAAACTAGGGCAGAACCTCCTCCTCTCTCTTCTCTTTTCTTTCCCCTAGCAGAACCTCCTTCTCTTGGATTTCTCTTCCTCTCTCCTCTTTTCTTTCCCCTCCTCTTCCCTTTCTCTCTCTAGAAATTCTTCTCTCTCAAGGCATGCATTTCCAACACCCCAAGGCCCCTATTTATAGCATTTTCGCCCCTCCTACCCGGAACGGCTCGTTCCAAAAGCGGAACGCCCGTTCTGGGCCTGAAAAATCTACGAAAATTTTTGAACTGAAACGGCCCGTTCCGAAACCAGAACGGCCCGTTCCGGGACTCATCCAGAACGGTCCGTTCTTCTTCCATAACGGTCCATTCTCCTTCCAGAACGGTCCGTTCTCCTTCCAGAACGGCCCGTTCCAACTTTGAAAACGGCTCGTTCTGCTACTTCAAAATCAGTTCATTTTTGGTGCTTGGAACGACCCGTTCCGCTTTTGGAACAGCCCGTTCCAAGTTACCAAAACACCATATACCTTAAAAAAATTTATGAAAATGCCATTAATAGATAATAAAAAAAAAATGGGTATTACATAGTTGATGTAAGACTTGAATTTTTTTCTTATTTTTTTAATTTTCTTATCTCTTAAAAGATAATAAGGGGACTATTAAGCTTGATAATAGTAAGTAAACTGATACCAACTTAGAATAATGAGTTTGTTTACCGTGGAATTAGTTTATGGATTCTTTTTATTCGAACTAGCTGTTAAGTCTCAATTTTACCTCTTTTTGGATGAGACTTATTGAACAAATTCCACTCATCCTTTGAACCATTGCAATATAATTGTTCTCTTTTTGGTTCATTTTGCGTGCAGATATAACTAACCCAAATTCAACTAACAATACCTTAATACACCTCATTTTTTGTGCAGGTATTGAGCTAGAGATTTGAGGATTGAAGATCTTTGGGATTGGAAACATAAGGAGCCAAGGAGCAGAGCAGAGTTGCTGCGCCGGGCGCAAGATGACGCTGCGCCGGGCTTGAGAAGAACAGAGCAGTGGACTTCTGGAAGTCATACATGCGCCAGGCGCGAGACTCCACCACGTCGGGCGTGATCGAGGCAGAGAGTACCTCAAAACTCTCTGGAATGAATTGCGCCGGGCTTAACAGAGAATTGCGCCGGGCTTGCTCTAAGGCAGAGAATGCTTGAAAGCCTCTGGAAGACACTGCGCCGGGCGTAAAAGGTAATTGCGCCGGGCTTATAATGAGGCAGAAAGTGCTCAGAAGACGTTGTGCCAGGCGTGAAGACTTAGGCGCCGGGCGCGAAACCCTAATCTGACCTCCCAGGCTCGTATTTGAAGCCATTTTCGAGGGTTTCTCCCTCATTCTCACATTGGGCGCCTCCAGGAGCTGCGGAAGGGATTCCCAGGGCTTGGGATCGTCCGTGTGCGGATCTTTCCTTCGGTTCTTCACTTCCTCTTCCATCTCTATTTTGTATTTGCCCTCATTGTTGTGAGCGGTTTCACCCATTTTGTGGGGTTAGATGTAACCAACGTACTCTAATGTAATCCTTACGTTTTTAATGATATATATACATGTTGTTTCATTCTTTGTTGTGTACGTTTCTATGCTTAATGCTTGCTTTGGATTGATCACCCTTGCATGATTTAAGGTTCCATTGAGTATTGGGAAATACCTTTGATATGAGTTCTGGAACATATGCCTAGTGGAGATTGTATCTAGGGATAGAGCTTGACCCATTAGTAGTCTTAAACCCTATCCCGTAATGCGGGTGTAGGTATTGGGTACTCAAGGGATTGATATTCAATATCCACACCTAGGCTCTTTCTCTAAGGGATTAGGTTTGAGTAAACTTATGGGTTGACTAAGCAATGAATTTAACAAGAGATTAAGGATACATTAGTGGTTCGTTCGGTGAAATCTGACCCCCACAACCTCACAATACCATTATCCCATTTCTACCCTTTCCCATTCTAAAACTAATCTTTTTATAGTTTTAACATTCCAATAGTCATGCTCTTCATCTCACATTCACATGACAAACTAGAAATTGGAATTATTCTTTAGTCACGAATAGTCAATAAATGCTTATTTTACCTTCTAATCCCTGTGGATACGGTATTTTTACTACTTGAATAGCCGGTATACTTGCCGTGTTTGAGACCGTTGATGGAATTAAACTGATTTACAATTATAACAAAAGTACTTCAACGGAATTCTCAACACTAGCACGAATGATGTTTCAATTTAGGTATTTTGACGATTTTAGACACTTGAAGAATAAGAGATGGAGCAAAGAGATTTAATAATTACTTGTTTCTAAATATTCTTCAATGATTAACAAGTAATAATGTTCGTGAAAGTAAATCCTCAAATAAACAGAATGAACAATAAAAATATTCGCAATACAAATCATGGTTCACTTCGCATAATGATTAAATACAATTGAAATAACGAAGCAGATTGATCAGAGTAAAGTACAATTATGCAACTACACTACGTGATTAAGGAAACTACACTAATCCTAATCCTAGAAGAAGAAAAGAAATGTGGTCAAGAAATTAGTACCCAACAATCGTGTACGGAAGCCATATGCGCAGACAGAGAGTGCTTACAAAGTGCAAGTATGAAATTTCCGACCTCCGTGAAGGTACATAACTCTCGTATTTATAGAGTCAATCAATGGTGTTTAATTTTGTGTATGTACGTAATTGGAAAATAAGCGCTATCCACTATGCTTATTACGTGGTTTAAAATGTAACTTCTCGTAACCGTTCATTCCACGTCTCGGCTTTCTCGATTCGACCCTTAATAACCACCTTGGTGTGCCTTAACTGTCAGGAACCTCCAATAACTACCTTTCACTTTTTCGAGTCATTCTTGAGTATGCATGTTTAACATTTCTGATGCTCCTCCTTGATAGGTGTTGTATCAGTTAATTCTTTCGAGTGACAAACTATCTTTCGAGTAGCCCCAACAAATGCCTCTCTAGGAATTCAGTTTCGATGAACATACTGGGTGAAAGAAGAACTGAATTCCTATCAAGATTTTTCTTTCGATGCTTTCTCGAATGTTTGCTAATTGATCACTTGTATTTCTTTGATCAAAACCTATTTCTGACCCCTATTCAATGTGATGACCATTTGATGTGACATTGATTATTTTGACGGCGCATACTTGCGTTTTTTCCTAAGTCACATCAATACAAAACGTTTTGGCGGCCATTTTCATCATTTATCTTAAAATTGGGCCCGTCTCACTTCAGGCCCGTTAAAACTCTTTTTACCCTAGGGTAAAAATTACTTTCACCTCTGAATCCTGTGGTACGTTTATATAGAAAGGAAAGACATTGGAGATTCAATTTCTATGGTCACAATACAACGCGTTATTTAATTTTTTACTCATGAAAGGAATCGATCATCAGCGCACTATATTGACCGCAGCAACCTCTAAGAAACATCCATTCATATGGAAGAAATTCTTTAATTGTATGGTCATACTTATCCTGTTATCCAAAACTACCACACGCTTGGTCTTGTTATTATATGGGCGTAATTAATTTATACAAACTTGAAATCAAATGCACTAACTTATATCTTAATAGTAATATTAACAAGGGTACGAAGACAGTTTTTTCATCTCGCAATTTTCCAATTTAGGATCTGATATTATATATGCCTCTTGACAGTGATGGCATGGTTGTCACCGTTTTCCTTCCCATTATTAATATTCTACTAATACTTCATAAATTTCCCATTTGTGTAATTTATACCCATTATTGTATTTAGTTGCTATAAATTAAAGGGCATTCGACCATTTATGGGTCATTATATATTTGGACATGATCTATGAGAAAAATCTAACTCTCAAATATAAAATAATTAGAAAATATATAAATGAAAAATAACTTTTATTTTACACGTTAGTTTTATAAGATTAAATAATTTTAAATTCCTAATTTAAGATAATATTAAATCAATCTAGATCTACTTTAAAAGAGTCACCATTATTAATATATATATTAAGTCTAATAATATAAATTATGAGGTCTATAAAAAAACAATTTTTTTTATTAAGAATCTATAAATAGAGAGTAATTCTTATTTTACAATTTAATTGTGTAAGATTAAATTAAATTCAAATTCATATTCTAATATTTTTATTGGGACATGTGATGATAAGTGATCTTCCAGTACACCTATCATCTATATGCGTGTATGCGGTATGATGCACCTAATTCTATTTGATTTATTTTTCAAAAGAATTAACCGATGCGTTTCTTTGCTTTGGATTTTTTGCCATTCCTCTAGACGGGCTGTGCGCTGCCGATTTCTGTAACCGAGGAACGATGCGTGTTATATCGAGATTGGTGTCATCAACCCAGTGATCATTCCCTTCCTTTAGAAGATGTATTAACCTTCCTATTGACCACTATATCTCCATGTTTCCACTAGATTATTCTAAAATCGTTTGGGACAAGAGAAAAGAAGGGAAAGGTATTTTTTAAGCTAAGACTAGGATCAGTGGGAACAGTTGCTGCAGAGAAGGTTGCAGTGATAGAATTGTTAGTCCCATCTGTCTTCAGAGCTGTTATATCCTTTCATCATGCTGGTTCCATGGATCCAGATGCTGTAGCTTTCTTTTCTCCAGATGAGGTATAGCTGCAATATTATTGTGAGATTTATTGCTGTTTCTCTTTCCTAATATTCATTGGCGTGAAATGTTTGGTTATCAGCATGCTATGGACATTCTAGATGATCTCTTAACATCGGTTATGTGATAGTTACTAGTATAGATGTGGTTTTCATTTTCCCATTTCCTGAATCCCTAGTTTCAGTAAATCAAGCTTGTATTATTTTTTTTTTTTATCCATAGGAAAGATTATAAAAATGGCAATGAAGATCGAACTTAGGTTGTCATGCATCTACTCTACCCCAATTCCTTCTCTCCCTCCAACCACTAGGTTAACTCTTGCAGTCCAAGCTTGCATTATTTATAGCATATATTACATTTAGTAGCTATAAACTTAATTTTCAGATTGCACTGTGAGCTAGCGTCTACAAGATTCCACTGCTTTTTTGAAGGTGGTTTTTCTATTCATTTCTTGATATATTTTCATAATAATCAAGTTGGTCTTACAGTGACTCCCATCGATGCTAGTTAGGCATTGTTAGCTAAGAGCTGACCTGATAGGCAAGGTGTTAAGACTAGTAAATTAGTTGTCTAAAGACAGATGGACAAAGGAAAGTCAGTTACCTGGTCAGTTACATTTTTTTTTTTGGAGGGGGGGGGGGCTGGTTCTCACATTCCTGGGAAAAAAACCATTGCATATCATTTTTTCCCTTCTTAATCCCCCATATATTCAACTCTTGTTCTTCTCATTGATCTAGAGTTCGGGGAGGATATTTATTAAATTTTCTTACTTTTTTGTTAATATCTGTATTCTGAATAGTATGTATTACTTGCCAGTACTCAAATAGGATAATGTGAATATATATTTATTGGTCCTACACATCTATTTTGTTAAATATTTATGTCATGTGCAGCTCAAGTTTGTAAACATGGCCCATTTTATTTTACATTGTAAGTTGGCTACTTTCTTTTGGAATAAGCTGTTTGTTTGATGGGCAGGATGGACATTGAGTTTACCTGATTACATTGTAGTTTTTCTCAATTTGTTTTAAATGTTTTGAAACTAGGAAGTTGGATATTTTTTGTCATATCCAGTCTTTTCTCATTGCTTGGAGCCTAAACATTCAGTGATTCCTTTCCACTGGTAGCTTTGTGTTGGGAATCTTGTGATGATGGTAGCTTTGGTGCCCAGCCCATGGCTGTTTCAAGGGAGTTTCTATTTCTGATTTAATAGAGACAAATGCTGTTCTCATACTTTTTAACTTGATTTTGGAGAATGTCTTATTCCCTAGTTGTTCTTCACTTATTTTCTCTCGAATGTGTATATGACTTGTTTTTTAATGATAATAATAAAGAGACTTAAATTTGTTATTTGTTAATAAATTTTCTTGAACTTTACTTTTACATATTCCAGTTTTATAGTTCCTTAATACATCTGGCTCAGTGTATTTAACTGTGCACTACTTAACAGAGCGGAAGCTACGTGCATGCAAGGGGTTTTTCTGTTCATCATGTGTTTAAACATATCACGGTAACAGTCTCTGTTGCTTATTATTTTTCATTTGATTCTTTTAGTTACTCTTTAAAGTCTTTCTCATTATAGATCCTTTTTGTTTTACATTGCAGGAGTATGCAGCGACAGCTCTGCAGTATTTTCTTGGGAACCAAACTGAAACGTGTCTGTATTCTCTTTTGGTACTGTAATTTTCTTTCTTTTTTCAAATCGTGGCACTTCTTTTGATTAGAAGGTATTAATTCTAGATGTACACTAGGTTTTCTTAGATTTTTGCCTTTTTCTGTAGCACTGGATTTGCAGCTACGAGACTCTGTTTTCAAAATCATGCAGGTTCATTTTGCAGCTTCTAGAACTTTAGATTTTCTTATCCTTTGGTCAAATTACTAAACTCAATTTGTTGGTGGTGCAGCAAATGTTCACGGCTACTTGCCATGGATAAACAATCAACTTTACTGTTACCTCCAGTTCATCGTCCTTATTGGCAGTTTTCCTTTTCAAAAATTTTGTTAAACATATCCTCAAAGGACCAGAATTCTGATTCTACTCAGGCCTATCATATTGGCTGTTTCTCTGAGGAAGTATAGTTGCATCGACCAACAATTCAGGCGAGCCAAGTGCCCAATTTTATGCGGAACTCTACCTGGAGCAAGAATTTCCATTTCATTGCTGTATGTATATTACCTTTTATATGTATAGGTTGGAAGGCAGGGGTAGGTTAAGTGATTTGCTTATCATTGGTCTATATTTTCATCTCTTAAATTGGATCTTCAGGGAATTGATTAGTGGTTCTGTTGTGTAAGCTTCGTGTTCATTGATAGATTTTTTTTGGATACCAGAAACAGGAAGTTTTCCTCACTGATCATTGCTAGATTTTCATCTCTTAAAGGGATTTATTTAGATGCGGAACTCAGCATGTGGGTTGCTTATCAACCATGCTTGCAAACGCAGATGAGTGAACTGACAGAGGATAGGAATTATGAAGGGAAATTAAAGATGAAGAGAAAGTGGTGAATTATATTGTGAGATGTACGTAGTGGTGCGTATATATAGAAAGGAACAACGCGGTTGTAAGTAGGTGTCCGCGTTGAGTTGGGCTTTGGCCTAATTCAATTTCTACTAACGAAAGGAAAGGAATCGATACAGTGGACCGCTACAAACTTTGATGTTGATTGATCAGCGCAACATCCACGAAGCAACATATTCCTGAGGGAGAAATAATGCATTTTTAATTGGAATTGGAACACATGAATATTTTAATCCCTCTTAGTTAATGATATCCAAAACTAGTAAACAACCACACTTGATCTTGTCATACGTATTTCTCTTTATACTTACATATATATACTCCTTCATATTTATGTTCATATTCTATTTGCATTTATATATATACGCGTTGATATTTATATTTATCAACTTGTATACTATATACTAGAAAAAGAAATCTTAGTGGATTGATTCCCCACCACCACATATATATTTTGGGAATTTGTAATATACTATAATATGTGTGCCGTCGTCGAAACGAAATTTGAACAGTTCAGAATCGTTACAGCAATGTAATTCGAATGCGTGCTTTTATATAAAAGAAAATACTACTTGTTACAAAGATTAAACGTGTTTTTGTTTACGTGAGAATGGAAACTCGTAACCAAGTAACACCTTATTAAATCGATGAGTTGGTATAAGGGTTAGTAAAAGATCTATTTAACTAAAGATTTCATGTTTAATCTTTCATTATATTAGAAAATTTGTTATACTAACTGTTCTTACCGGAAATCTGCTGTAGAGCTGATCCGCCAGGTAAGATCGGTGAGCCTCCTTCACTGGTACGCTGGTGCTCCAAGATGGGGGTGGTACTTATGGTTGCTTTGGGCCTTATGGTTGCTTTGGGGTAGGCCAGGTGAAGCTGACGGCCTCGGAGGTGGCCGCCATCGACAACCTCGCTGCACTTCTTCGTCCGCTGGATTGCAAGCTCGTTCTGTCGCTTGCGAACTCGGCGTACAGGGAGAGGGGCTTGGAGAGTGAGTATTTTGTTTTTTGGTGGCTTGGGATTTGTGTAGCTTTCTTTTTGCTGATGTGCTTTGCTTCTTATCTGTAGGTATCATGGGGAAGAACTTGTGGCGTGAGCTCAAGCATCGCTACAACGTCACCGAGCTCGAGGTCCCCGAGCCTCAAGAGGAGGACGTTCCCTCTCTGAAGGTCAGCCGGAAGAGGAAGAGGGGAGCGAAGGAGGTCGGGGGGACCTCTGCCCCTCCGGACGCCGAGGAGGTGACCTCCAAGGCTGCTGATATTGGTGCGGTGGACCTTACCGAGAGTCCACCGCCCAAGGGAGTGCCTCGGGTGGCTTTTGAAGAGGTGGTTCAGGCTGCCGAGGTGGCGGTTCCGGCCACCGAGCAGGTTGTTCCTGCTGCTGAGGTAAGTAGTGTTCCCTGACTTTCGTGGTTTCCTGTATGTCACCTTATTTATTTTTTGACACGGGGCTGGTTTTCACAGGAGAGGTCGGAGGTTCCTATTGCGGACCTTCCAGATGCCGAGCAGGGGACACCGGCTTCCGCCTCTGTTGAGGCTCGTGAAGGGGGTCTGAGTCGTGAGGTTCCCTCGTCCACCGCTGCAACTTCGGCGCCCCCGTCTGGCTCGTCACAGGGGGCTTCCCGGAGCCAATACCTAGCCCATCGCTTCGGGAATGACCTTTCAAAGGTGCGGCTGGACCACGTGAGCGCCTCGGCCGACGTGGACTCGCTGTGGAGCGTGGGGGTGACCGCTGAGAAGTTCTTCCCTCAGGGCTCGCTAAGCTCCGAGGACCAGGGGTTGATAGACGAGGTCAGCCCCGAGGATAGTTTCGACGTTGCCCAGGTCCTTCTGCAGAGGGCTATGGGCATCCTGGGCCATTGGAAGCCTAGGTGGGCCAAGCAGCAGGAGGACCTGGCCAAGCAGCAAGAGGACCTGGCCAAGCTGAGGGGCCGACTTCAACCCTGGAAGGATGCGAATAAGATCCTGAGGGAGGAGAACAAGGCTCTTAGTGCTGCCCTTGGTGAGGCGAAGCGGCAGGAGGCCGAGCTTCGATCTTCGCGGGGCGACCTTGCAAGGGTGCAGAAGCCTCTTGAGATCGCCTTGCGATCCAACGAGGCTTATGCTTCCCAGGTGGAGGAGCTGCAGGAGCTCATCGCCTTCTCTCGGGGGTCGCGCCCGCTCTTTGGAGGATGAGGTGACGTCTTCTCGTGGCCAAGTGCGGGCTCTGGAGGATGTGGTGACCTCGCTTAGAGGAGAGTTGGCGGCGGCGGCTACGGAGCGCCTTCGTAGCGAGGTCATTCTTGGTGGCCGGGAGGACGAGATTGCCACCTTGAGGGCGGAGCTGGCGGCGGAGAAGGCGGTCGTGGAAGGGAGGCTTGCGGAGGTCAAACGCTCCGTTGTGATGGAGCACAAGAGGGGCTTCCAAAAGGCTGTTCGTCAGGCACGGCTCCTTGCTCCCGGGTTCGACTTTTCGTCCATGCATGTGGAGAAGGTTGTCCGCTTTGGGAGGCTGTTTAAGGAGGACGATGTCGATGACAGTTCTAGTGAGAATGCCTCAGCCTAGGCCGCCTTTGTAATAACTTAGTTTATTTTTTCCTTTCCTATTTCCTTGTTTGGTATATTCCTTTGAACTCAAGCGTTAAACTCCGCAAGTGTTTTGTATGTATATTGCTCTTCGAGATTTGATTTTCCTTGCTTTGATTATTTTTTTTGTCTTGTCTTTTGATTGTTTTTCTGCCTTATCAGGCTCAATCTTGTTTTTAGAGTAGGATAGGCTGTATTAAGGGTTCGAATTCGACCTTAAACGGTCATCCTAAGGTTCGGACTTGGCCTCGGGTTTGCGTAAAATGAATTGTATTGGGGTTCGTACTCGACCTCAGTTTCTGTGTAAAATGAATTTCATCGAGGTTTGGATTCGATTTCAAATGAGCGCGTCGAGGTTCATATTCGTCCTCAATCTGGAGTAAAACGAGTTTTGTCGAGGTTTGGCGTAAAATGAATTTTGTCGAGGTTCGTACTCGACCTCGTTTTGGAGTAAAACGAATTTTGCCGAGGTTCGTACTTGAGCTCGTTTTGGAGTAAAACGAATTTTGCCGAGGTTCGTACTTGAGCTCGTTTTGGAGTAAAACGAATTTTGCCGAGGTTCGTACTTGAGCTCGTTTTGGAGTAAAACGAATTTTGCCGAGGTTCGTACTTGAGCTCGTTTTGGAGTAAAACGAATTTTGCCGAGGTTCGTACTTGAGCTCGTTTTGGAGTAAAACGAATTTTGCCGAGGTTCGTACTTGAGCTCGTTTTGGAGTAAAACGAATTTTGCCGAGGTTCGTACTCGACCTCGCTTTGGAGTGAAACGAATTTTGAACCTCGTTTTGGAGTAAAACGAATTTTGCCGAGGTTCGTACTTGACCTCGTTTTGGAGTGAAACGAATTTTGCCGAGGTTCGTACTCGACCTCGTTTCGGAGTGAAACGAATTTTGCCAAGGTTCGTACGAAATTTTGCCGAGGTTCGTACTCGACCTGGTTTTGAGGTTCGTACTCGACCTCGTTTTGGAGTTAAACAAATTTTGCCGAGGTTCGTACTCGACCTGGTTTTGGAGTAAAACGAATTTTGCCGAGGTTCGTACTCGACCTCGTTTTGGAGTAAAACGAATTTTGTCGAGGTTCGTACTCGACCTCGTTTTGGAGTAAAACGAATTTTGCCGAGGTTCGTACTCGACCTGGTTTTGGAGGAAAACGAATTTTGCCGAGGTTCGTACTCGACCCGTTTTGGAGTAAAACGTATTTTGCCGAGGTTCGTACTCGACCTCGTTTTAGAGTAAAACGAATTTTGTCGAGGTTCGTACTCGACCTCGTTTTGGAGTAAAACGAATTTTGCTGAGGTTCGTACTCGACCTCGTTTTGGAGTAAAACGAATTTTGCTGAGGTTCGTACTCGACCTCGTTTTGGAGTAAAACAAATTTTGCCGAGGTTCGTACTCGACCTCGTTTTGGAGTAAAACGAATTTTGCCGAGGTTCGTACTCGACCTCATTTTGGAGTTAAACGAATTTTGCCGAGGTTCGTACTCGACCTCAAACGAATTTTGCCGAGGTTCGTACTCGACCTCGTTTTGGAGTAAAACGAATTTTGCCGAGGTTCGTACTCGACCTCGTTTTGGTGTGAAACGAATTTTGCCGAGGTTCGTACTCTACCTCGTTTTGGAGTAAAACGAATTTGTGCATTTCACCAAGGTCCAAACTTGACCTCGGATAAGAGTGTTAAGGTTCGTACTCGACCTTATAATTTTAACGAGGTTCGGACTCAACCTCGGATGAGAGTGTTGAGGTTCGTGCTCGGCCTCATAATTTTAACGGGGTTCGGACTCGACCTCGGTTTGGAGTATTAGGGTTCGTACTCGACCTTAGTAAGGGTGAAAGAGATTGGTTCGATTTTGTTTTTTATAAAAACAATAAATAAGAAAATGGATTCAGCAAAATGAGTAATTTTCCGAGCTGATTCAAGGTTGGTCTCCTGATGATGATGTTATAGGAGGTGTTGGCCTCAACGAGAAGGTATCGAACCATCATTCTCCTTGTATCCGGGGGTACCCCGAAGGTTGTTAGTAGGTCTATGTACCCGCGAGTGTGAACTCGCTCTCCTGCGAAGCCGACTAAGGGCTTCGTGTGCGGCTGGATGAGAGAATGGGGGACATCTAGCCTAAGGAACGTTGGCCAGTACAGGATGTCGGCCGAACTTCCTTGGTCAATGAGTGTCTTCTGTTACCTCCACCATGATAACCATGGGATCATCTTAGTTAGGGCTGACACCCGCGTAGTCCTCGTCAGAGAAGGAGATCGGCGGTGAGCTTTGGTGCGAGGCCGAGGTGGTAGAGTGGATGCAGTTGACATTCCGAAGGTGCCTTTTTCGATCCGAGCTGCTGGCGCCTCCCCCAGCGAAGCCACCTGCAATCGTGTTAATCACTCCCCGTAAGGGGGCTGACCCTGTCTCCTGGCTTACCTCAGCCTGCACTGCGCC